CAGGAGAAAAAAGTGTTAAAGGATTCACTCTCTTTTAATCTCCTCCCATTCCCTCAAAATTAATCACGACTGTAAAACTTCACTTGGACTGATCTGTTATGCTTTATTCATATGTTGCAAGGTCGAGCTTTTTTTTTTTTTTTTTTTTTTTTTTAATCTTGGGCTGCATGATATCCAACTTCATTTGCCTAAGCTTTTCCACTTTGCGTTCTATTTCTTTATGGAGAAATATCCATACTACCATCTTCCTTGTCATTACCCAATCCATAACGATCAAGAAAAAAAACCTGTCATGTTAAATCATTTTATTTCAAACCACTCGTATATTTATCCTTGGTCTTCTACACACTACGCGTCTTCACAGGATATTTTTTCGTTCTAACAATCTTTTCTTGGACTCCGTATTTCTTTATTATGGACCACATGCTTTCGCAATGGACTGAGTCCAACGCCTTTTCGAAATACTTGAAATTTAGATAAAGTATTACTTGACTCTCGATTACCTAGGCAATCATGTTCGGCAATGTAAATGCCTGCTCTGTCGTCCCCTGCCTTGCCGTGCGGTCAATCGCGTGTTGGTCTCGCGTGATTGCGCGTAGGATCTGGGTCCGACTTTGGTCTGGTCGCGCGGGTCTAGGTTCCAACTTATTCGGAAATGACAGGAAATGGTCCGGACATCTACCATAACACTTGGGTCAAGGTCGGATGCTATGACAGCAAATTTGCTTTTCCCATGTATCATTCATTGGCACTGGATGATCCTTAGGCCGTTACTCATTCTCTAGTTCGTTTAATCTTATATCAGTCAACTCATGTCATTATTTACGAGAGTACGCATGCGCATTATCATAAACGTTCAACACTTGCCATTATATTAGTAGACGAGAGTCAGGCCGCATAAATGTGGGAGTGGAATTTCTGTTTACTTGTGCGAACATCTACGAGTACGCATGCGCACTATAATGGTAGGAAAGGTACCTGGCAGTGCGTCTTATTATTATTTTTAACGAAACCTTAAAGCCGCATTTATGTGGTAGTGAATCTTCTGTCCCCTGAAGCGACCATTCACAAAAATAGGCATGCACATTGCAAAACTTTGTCAAAAAAACAGCTGCCTTGTTTTCGGGATACTGTTCTGAGTTTGCATCACTGATCAACACCATGTAAAAAGTGTTTGTCATGGTCTTTTACGACGAAAGTGCAGTACAGCGTTGACAATACCGTCTACAAATGAGATCTGCTCACCACAACCACCACTTAAATAACAAGCCGCAGGCTCGATATTCGGGGGATAGCGACGTTTAACGTCGCGATCTTCGCACATTTCTGAAGGGCGAGGCGCCAAGTCTATTGTTTTGTGCTAAGGGTTATATTACATTAAGAGACTCTGAGCCTGTCTTAAAGCTGTCAACAATGTTCGCTTTATTGATCTTTCCTCTTTGAAACTTAATCCCGTTTACCTTAAGTGGACACCCAACGTAGTTGCTATTCACGTGCATGATATCAAATAGACTTCAAACATTCTGCATTGAAGCTCCATTCTTAGTCTTTAATTTTAGCCGACCCACTCAATAAACAATAAATAAGAACAATACTACCGAAAAATCATTACAACTGAGAACTTGATGAATAAACAATGAAAACAACAATTCAATAATCTCTCAGGGAGATCACCCGCCAGAGCGGATACCCGCGAGGTTTGTTCGGTTTCAACATAGACGGACGAAATTTTTACATCGCTAGTATAAATCTGGCCTAATTGTCACATTTGATCGAAGAGACATATTTACGCAAAAAAAAAAAAAAAAAAAAAAAAAATCACAGTTCACAAATGATTTAGACATCGAAATTAAAGTATTG